TTTGAATGAAATTGGTATACTTCTGGGTAAACGATGTTAAAATCTCAAATGCATAGAGTTTGTCTTATTTAATGAAGCTTTTAGGGAATATGGCACCAAAAGGAAGTTGGGGAGCGTTTGGGGAACATCTGTAACGGTCCCCGTTACAATTAGCACTAGTTTTTCTTTGAATTCCATAACGTCACTACTTTAAAAACACGGCATTTAATGCGCTCGTCACTACAGTAAAACTCGTTTAGTACGAACACAGATATTGCGAAGTCATCTTGGATCCCCAGCCATATAACTGTATAAATTTCATGAATTTCTGATACGGTTAAAACGAATTATGGATATAGCGAAGTAATTTTATAGGTCCAAGTGACTTTGTTATAACCAAGTTTTACTGTATCAATTATCAAAAATATAATAGAATTGACTATAGCAAGTGATGATCATGTCAACCTTTGTACATATTGCTTGATGTGCTACAGTTTATATTTAAAACACATGTCTAAACTGCTCGTTTTCGATTTACACAAATGCCGAATTTGCACTTTTTCATTTTTGTCCACGGCCAAATAAAACATCCAATATACTAATCAATAGAATGCATTCTTATAAATATAACTGCAAGCATCTGCTATGGAAGTGAAAGATGATACCTTTCATGTGTGTCACAGATGTTTTATTTTAATTTGTTCTTATAATTTGCGCTCATTGCCAATTAAACACGATCGCTGCGTTTGTTTGTGTTGTGTGTCTGGTGTGAATGTTTTGATAGATCTTGTGACATTGTGTATTTTTGTATTAACACGTGTTTCCGGTTTGTTGACCTGACGTGACTTACTGCTGACCAATAAATGACCGTTTTATCTTATAAATATGCATATATTAATTTATAAATTTATCCCGACAGCGAACAATCATATAATGTATGTTGTTGCGAAAAAAAACAAGATATGTTTTGCAAAACACTTACGCCCCCTCCCCCAAAATTGGAATTTTTCAAAGTCAAAAAGGGCATAAATCTGTAAAAATGGCGCGATCGATCCCAAAACTTGACCTAGATAGTAATGCTTCTGATAAATCTGTATACTAAATTTCATTTAAGTACGTGCAAGCTCTGCGAAGAAAATCAAGTGAAGAAGTGCAAATAATTGAAATTTTCTAAGTCCAAGGGGCATAACTCAGTCAAAAATGGCGCGACCGTACCAAAAACAGAACTTGACCTCGATGATCTTATATATGTATCTGTATATTACCAAATTTCATTTCAGTATGTACTACGGTTGTGAAGAAAATGAACGGAAACTAAGTGGACCGACAGACAGACCGACCGATCGACAGAGAGCAGCAAAGCAATATGCCCTTCCTTCTTCGAAGGGGGGGGGGTATAATAGGTTTATTATCAATAAAGCCAAGTCACGAAAAATAATTTTAATAACTACTTATAATAGTATCGTTCCCCCGCCTATAGTACCGAACGAGCACAACCTTACCCCAGAGCAAACCCGAAGCGGACCCCGGGTTTGCTTCCTGGGTTCCCTCGGGGCCCGCTTCGGGATCGCTTTTAGAAATTTAGGGACCGCTCCGCGTTCGTTGGGGGTCAGTTCTGGGTCCGCTAGAGCGAACCCGGCGTTTGCTCTCTGGGATTGCTTTACGCACCGATGCATGAAGCGGACCCCGCTTTAATCTCGCCGCCTGTAAGCCCGGTCCCTTGTTTATTCCAAAACAGTAATTGAATTTGGGAATCGATCATCATCTCCTCTTATACTATTGAGTGAAATTTAATAAAACTTTCACAGAATCTTTATTACATATTGCCATTGTGCACCTCCTATTTTACTTTTTTATTCGACACGTATTTTAGGTTTCCCGTAGTAAAACATGGACATTGCCATAATTTGCTTATCTATGGCGTCACATATAGAAGCTTCTGGATAACATTTAATAGGACAAGTTATTCCTCTTTACACATTACCGTAAAACAATATAAAGCAAAACATGGACATTATAGGAGGCGGGGGTATCATTTAATGGGCTCATTGCTCACAGTACCTCTAGTTACGCTTAGAATTATGTAGCGAGTATATGATTTTAATCAGAGTGAAAAAATAAAAAGACAAATAATAATTGTTCTCCCGATAATAATACAAGTATAATAATAATATACCCCCTACTTTACATACACACATTAATGAAAATTAAAATCATTTAAATATAATATTTCTAAATATTTAAATAAAAATGAATACAAGAAAAAATCAAGACAAAACAAACAAAAGAGATCATAACTGTAAACTGTCATCATTAGGCTAGAGCATTTTATACCCCCCGCTTGAAAAGTGGGAGGTATACTGTAATCGGTATGTCCGTCCGTCCGTCTGTCTGTACGTGCGTCCGTCCGTCCGTCCGTCTGTTACCCTTTAGGGTACCCATCTCTTATCCGCAACTCCTCTTATACAACTCAGTGAAATTTAATGAAACTTTCACAAAATCTTTATTACATATTGCCATTGTGCACCTCCTATTTTACTTTTTGACAATATTTTGGGTTTCCCGGCCACAGCAAAACATGGAGTTTGCCATTATAACCATATGGGAGGCGGGGGGGGGGAGTATCATTTAGTGGGCTCATTGCTCACAGTAGTTCTAGTTTCAAATAATATACAGGTCAATGTACATGCACATTGGATTTTTTCATGCCCAATTAAGAAGATCAATACTTGATGTGAATTTATATTAATTTGAAGGAACATGTAAATTGAGACAAAGGGGAAAAAAAATTTGAATAATGGGCCCGTACATGTACATATTTTTGTACTGTATCCTGAGATAATGAAATTATGCAATTTGTCAGAGGCCAGTTATTTATCTTTTCAAAACTTTTTTCATTAAAGAAATTTTATCGAATTTATATCGAATAACATCACACATTCGATCTTTAATCCCAATCGACAAATCAATTTGCCATGATTTTGATTGGTCGATGCGCTGATTGGTTAATCGCTAATCCTGACTGACAGCTCCGTAAAGAAATACCGAACGCGCGATCGATCGCCTTCTGGGACCGCTACTGAATTTGGGGTCCGCTTTCTGGGTCCGCTCAGGGTCATCCCTAGCGGACCCTGAGCGGACCGAGAGCGAACCCGGGGTCCGCTCCGGGTTCGCTTTCTGTTAGGTTGTGTCCGGACGATACTGTACATTTTCCTCTAAGTGAATCCTTTACAATACGAACACAGTTAAATGATTTTACAGATTTTTATTAAAATATATTTTTGTAAAACATGTGTTTTTCACTATAGAAATAAATGAAAAAAGGAAATTTAGGTCAGACGAGTTCAAGGTTTACGTATCTGAACGTTTTTCACAGACTGTAGATTACAGTGGCTGGAACGTTATTGTTGACAACTTACACGAACGATCACGTTACACGAACGATTCCGCACGATTAACGCACGATTAAACCTGTTACACGAACGATCTTTCACGTTCACGATTCTACACGTTACACGATCTTACACGATTGCTAACGCAAACGCACGTTTCTTCACTCAAAATAGTTCAAAATATTTAGGAATCAATATTTTCAAAACGAAATAAAGCTTAATACTTATTTAAGATTTCAAAGAATTATCAATATCATGTCATAGACTTTGAAAAAAAAAAAACGGAAAATGATATTTCTGTAAATAAATATATGCAAAACTTAATATTCCATATTATAAATAATTATTTCTAAAGTAATTATCCGATCAAAGAAAACAGATTTTGTTCGTTCTATTAGACGATGTATATGTATGTGGGTCGTATAATTTGATTGAATTGGATATCATGATATGCAGAAAGGGGGATACGACTCAACAAAAATGGCAGAATGGAATGACTTAAATTATAATTACAAATTTTATCCCTATGTTTCCATTGATTCAATGTCTGATAACCTTGTTAATTATTCCACTTAAATATTTGCAGAAATTTAAAATCAATGAATTACAAATAAGCTCAAGAGATAAACACAGATAATCAAATCTCCCGAAAATCATGCCGTGTGCATGTATATTTGTCGACTAACTTGTAAGCATTGAGAAATGTTTATTTCTTTGTAAAAAAAAATATTTATTTTCAATGAATTGATTTCAAGATTATCTTGACCTCAATAAGAAGTAAATAATAATTAAAATAAGATTTTTCAAAAAGGCCTTAAAGATCTAAGTACTGTTTATCACAATATTGATCGCGCTATTTGACGAGAACTTCAAATTGTACGACTTACTATATTGTTTGTTTACGGGCGATAGTTAGTTCGTTCTGCATTCTATTACATAATTTGCATTTTTTCATTTAATTTGGATTTTAATTAATAAATTAAGAAAAACAAACAAGGGAAAAGCTTATTGTAGAAATAACATTCCGATAAAAACTTACAAAACGAAATTTACACGATTCTAAACGCACGATCTCGCACGATTAAAAACGCACACGATCGAGTCTGATACACGAATGATCTTTCACGTTAAACGAACGATCACTCACGATACACGAACGATTCTACACGAATGGTTTGTCAACAATAACGTTCCAGCCACTGTAACTTTTTTCATGTACCATGTCTAAGGGAGATAGGGTTGAAATTCATCAGATGAATCAAAATTTGCTGTCAAAGTAGGAAGTAAAAGCCTAAGGGTAAAATCCTTGTTGTTTACAAGTTTCACACTAAAATATAGCACGTTTGACCTTGACACCGTTGACCCTGACGATAAAAACAAAGTGATAGACACAACCTTTGCCTTTCCAGCATTACATTTTGCAGGTTTTCTTGCTTTACAGTGCAGTTGAGATGTCAAAACAATTTTCTTAAATAAAACAGATGATTTTGACTCATTATGGTACTTTAAAATAGTATTCTTTTCAAAATGGCATTTTCTTCATTGTTTTATTTGATTTTATAAAAGAAATATAGCTTGTAGTTTTGAATTGTGTCGTCTTCTATATCTGAAAATTTTAATTATTTTTAGCAGAAATTCCTATTCACCGAACGTCGAAAAAATTTTCAAAATTGTCAACGACCTCACAGGTGTCCTAAACCAGGAAGAATTTTCAGCAGATCTTCAAGAATATCTTGCTAAAAACTATCCAAACTATGCAAGTGATTTAAAACAGCTCCACGATGACGTTTCTTTTAACCAGCCGTGCATTTTTATTTGTGGTACGTATTACATGTAATATAAGTTACTGTTTTACTAATTGGATTTGTTTTGGTAGCTCGTTATTGACGATTTTTATTCCCTTAAAGTAAATGTTGGGAGAATGTAATTGGGATTGCTTGAAATACAAACTTAAAGGGAATGGTAACTCACACACACAAAACATTTTTGCCACAATTATGATCGCAAGCTCTCGAGAACTTAAAACAAATCCTTTTCCTTACTTGAGTAAAGGATATGTGAATGCAAGGACTATACCCCGTTCTTATACAACGTACTTTTTAATTATCAAAGTTTCTGGAATCTAAATTTTAAATTATTAAGTTATATAATAAAATTAATAATATTGCTCGTAAGGCCATCTTTAATTTTTAAAAAAATGTTTCCTTTGTCTAGGGGAAGGCTGGGTTATTGCAGCCATAAAATTCGAACATGAATGGGGCATGTCCCATTCTACATTAAACTTGAGTGTAAAATTCGGAAATGTTTCAAAATATAGGAGTTTGAACACATCGTATATGAAATTTAACATCACTGACAATGTTACTTGTTTAAATAAATACATTCCATTAAGAGGCAGTCCACCGAAAAACCAGGCAGTGTTGTATTAAAAGGCGGCACATCGAATGTGAGGAATATTTGATATTTTAATAAAAAAAAAAAAAAACAATATCAATGTAGTCCAGAAGGAATAATTTTATTGAAGATTTATTTGAAAATTGCTTATTTAGTAAAATATCCTTGTGTTTTCTGTTTTTGAATTCCCCTATATCAACCATTGAATGTAGGTCAGAAACAAAGAACTGTATTTTCTAATACATTTTTCACAGGACTATAATTCACACGTAACTAAATCTAGAAATATTTCGTGTTTTGTTTAAAAAATAAAATCGGTGGGGAAAACACTTTTGATAGTAGTATAGTTTTCTGGCAAAATATATAGACGTTTTTGTGAAATTTTACGGTGCAAGAGTTATCTCCCGTGGGATCGGTAAATCTGATAAACACCTTTTTATCGGAATCCTTGTGAGATATCTCGAATCGATACACTAAAGAAAATTATTAAATAAAAAATAACTAATTTATTTTCAAAATATAATTCATTTCCCCCTCCAAGCCTAATATTTAGATAAAAATTTACTCTATTATTCAGGTTGAATATACGTTTCCATTGATATATCAGTGACGTCATATACCTGACTAATATTGCGTTACAATGAAATAGTTACAAGTTTTCCAGAGAAGTTTGTGAATTCTTTGCGTAAAAGTGTAAAGCAAAATGATTTCTCTTTTTCTGTTTAATTACTCTTCAGAGTGCATTATTTTATACAAGGGCGGCGTTTCAGCTAGATGTATTAAAACATATATCTGTTTTGATAAGTACTTATACATGTCTGAGAACTAATTTTTGTACAACTTTACTAGAATAAGCGTAAAAATATTTAATGAAGTGTTTATAATGAACAATTCTTATATAATTTGGAATCAGTGATGACTGTTTTAGATTTACGCAACATTTAATTCTAGGACTTGAGATGTGTACTTCATGATATTTGTTAAAACTTAAATATATTTATCTATGCATTCAAGTCAAAATAAACAATCCGCGGTGCGATTAGAAATGAAAAAAAAAACAACCTGAAAAATAAGTTATAAAAATATATTTACTGAGTTAGATTACTGCTGAACTCCCCGCTATTATTTGGCACCAAAACGAAAGATGGTTTAGTGAAACATTTCGTTTTTTAAATTTTTATTTGGCAATTGAAACAATCACACACTCACATTTAATATGGAATTTAAACATGTGACTATGTTGGCCAATTCTAAACTGTTTTCACATTCAATTTTTTAAAATAATGATGTCATGCCCCCCCCCCCCCCCCTTTGCTTTTTGCTTGCGATTTATCGGCTCTAAAATAATAATACTACATATGAAAAAACTTATTTTCTTATCCATATCAAATCAAATTTTGTAAAAGAGGAAAATATTGGGGAAAAGGCTTTACAGATGACAGGAAAAACAACTTGGATAAAGTCGAAACTGTACACAAAAACTATTTTCTGTGTTTGGGCAATTTTAATTTCGCCATTGATAGAATTTAACTCTTTAATTCCTGAGAAAATAAAACAGAAACTTTACTTGGAAATAAGATTACAATAAAGCTAGAAAGCATTCTACTCTCAGTTGTTGTATAATGCATGTATTGTTGCAAAGTGCATGAACAAATATTTTTTTTTGAAATACCGAGTATCAAGAAATCAGACAGATGTTTTACATGTAATCTTCATGTACGTAAAAGACATTAGTGATTTAAATAATATATACATTTGAATCTATGGTTACTCTCATATAAAAACAGAAAACTGACTGAAAAGAATTAAAAGACAAGCATAATTTTCTGATAAGTTAAAATGAAGAGCCAAATTTAGGAAATATTTCTAAATTTACGGTAAAAACCGACCCGATTGAAATAAAACCGATCCCGATCGAAAACTAGAGGTACTGTGAGCAATGAACTCACTAAATGATACCCCCCGCCTCCCATATGGTAATAACTGGTGAAAATTTCCATGTTTTCCTGTGGTCGGGAAAGCCAATATATGTGTCGGATCAAAAAGTAAAATAGGAGGTGCACAATGGCAATATGTAATAAAGATTCTGTGAAAGTTGCATCAAATTTCATTCAGTGGTATGAGAGGAGTTGCGGATAAGAGAAGGGTACCCCAAAGCGTAACAGACGGACGGACGGACGGACAGAGGGACGGACGGACGGACGTACAGACGGACGGAATTTACGATTACTATATACCCTCCCGCTTTTCAAGCGGGGGGTATAATAATGCAAAGTTAAAAAATTAATCAAACTAAAGGCACCTGCCACCTATATAACATGTAAAAAAAATAAATTATACGAATTATACGTAATTCTGTAATTATATTAAAACAAAAGAGCCCAATTTAACGTTACAATTATAGTATTTCCTTGTATAATTCCGGTCGGGATAAGATTTAATTTGGAATTTTTTTTTTAAATACGTAAATTTGACTCCTCTTATTTCTTTCAATATAACCTTTTCCCACTGATTTTATTGGATGACTCAAAAGTTTGTACTTCGTATTCATGATTATTAAAAAAAATCTGTCCTTGTAATGTATGCTTGGGTTTTATAACGAAATGAAAATTGGATAGTGAATTCAAAGAGTTACTCGCTAATCTCAAATTTGGACCATATTATTTTTTCCAAAGGAATATAAATTGAAGTTTTATTCATTAATTAAAAAAAGATAAGAGTTTATGCTTTAAGTAGTCTTCATGGACACATCCAGCTTTTGAGTATCTGCTACATATAAAACAAAATAAAAACGTAGTAATTTTTTTACCCCTCATGTTTAACCTTTCTTCCACTTAAAATTCAGCATTTACCTAAAAAAAAAAAAAAAGACTAGTGGAGCACTGAAAATTTTTTTGATGTCAGGTGTAAACACTTGCTAAAATAAGTCAACATGCAAAAAATAATTAAAATCCATGACATGCGATGTGCCACCCATTTCCTGGTTTTTCGGTGGACTGCTTCTTAAAGACAAGACTACTTTGTTCCAATCTGGTTAATTAACATGTTTATTCCTACATGTACATGTATGCCGAAACATAGTTTAGAGAGTTTTTGAACATGCTTTTTTCCCCATTTTGATAACTCTAAAATGAAGTGAAAAAATATTCAGGTTCACATATTTTTTTTTTTTTTTAAATAAGAATTGTATAATTTTTTTATATAAAAACATAAATCAGTAAAGTTTTTTGTATATTAAACATGATCTGATAAGATAAAATAATATCCATCTTTATCAACGAATGCTCATGGTGACTGTAGTATGGCTTCCACAAACCCCATTCTTTCCGTCATAAACTTGATCAAACCGAGTAATACAAATAATTTGATTTTAGTCGCTTTATTTTCAGGAAAACGTTGCAAGGCTAAGCTTGATCTTTTATCTGGACTTTATGGTGAATTCATCACAGAGTCTTCCTATAAGAAATTAAACAATGCACATCTTGTGATGAGGACAGGGGACGCTGTAGGTGTCAGGGTTTTCAGGAAAGGGCAAGAGATGTGTGACTTCGCCTGCAGTCTGGAGAACAATCAAAAGGAGCAGCAAAACATCAGAGAACATTTGGATAATATTTCACATGACATTGCCATTTTTCGAGACTGTTGTGTTAAAATTTCAAAATCAGACAAATCAAGGGTGCGTAAAAATTTTAACATACTTAAGAGGAGATGAACCTTTCCCCAAATGTCTGCTTTGTATATTTTTGCAATGTATGAAAAATATTTATTTTGTGCATTCTTATTTCTTCACCAGTTTCTTATCGTTTTTAACAAGCTGAAACCTAAAAAATTTGATTTTGGAAAATTATTTTTTGTCCCATAAGGATTATTTAAGAAAACTGTCCTTCACTTTCTAGCTCAAATGCCCGGTGATACTATTTTTTGTGAACAAACATAGTAAAGTAGCAATGCTTCAATGACAAAATCTTGGAAAAAATTATATATAATTAAGGAACGTATCGTCTGTCCTTAACAACTGAAAGCTTCAGGGTAATTTATTTTTGTTTCCATTTGATTTATTTGATTTTTACTGAAAAATCATACACATAAACATCAGTTTTTTATTGCCAAAGTAATATACGGCTAACGTATTTTGTATGTATGGCAAGTATCTAATATGGCGGGTGTGACCGGTCGGCAGGAAAAATTTTTTT